TCGGTACCAAAATAACATATCATATTGATGGCCAAAATAAAATTGCAGCATTTTAGGGTTAAATCATCCATGATGATTTGTGTAACTAATGATTTAGAATAACCTCAAAGAAGTAAATCTAGTGGTTAGCTTTCTAGGTCTGGCATAGTTTCTCTGGCTTATTTCAGAAGGGTTAGGTTTTCTAGTTGTAATTCTAGGATATGATTAGCAAAGCTTGACTGGCAAAACCAGTACATGCACTGATTCTGCTGCCAAGGCTTCACTGAGAAGGTTTAGGCTCAAAATAATTCCAGTATTCGAGCCTGTACTAGGATACCTCAACTTTTTTGGAAGCCTCTCCTTGAAATCTCACTCTGTATAATATTTCAGAAAAGTGGGAAGAGTTACAGGAGAATTTCTTCTATAGGAATTACATGAGTAAAAAAAAAATCCCACATTTCCCCAATAATCACTTGTGGAAATGCAAAAATGCTACCTTATTTATGAGACTACCAGGGTTCTCCACCTGTCAGGCCTGACATGGTTCAGCTGCACAGGCCAGAGACATTTTTGATTCTCCATGTGTCAGGGACAAGTGTCATACATACTGATTTGCACAGAAAACCACAGAGAGCACTCTCCAGGGAAAGCCAGCATTTTGACAAGGCTCAGTGATGACTTAGAGCAACAGGGGTAGGAACTATTGTGTGATGTTGTCCATAGACCCATATCATTTGAAATTTAAATTCCTTGTAAAACACCAAGAAAATATGGGTCAGAGAGCTGCTAATGGAGATTCTAGGGAAGGGACTGTCACTAAATCACCCTGAAGACTTAGAAGTGACTGAAAGAGCATTAGGAAAGAAGTCAGTTCAAAAGCTAGCAGTAAAAAAAAAAAAAAAAGAAAAGCAAAACATCATTTAAGAGTCAACACATTGAGGTACTGATGGGGTCAGCCAGTCATTATCTGAATTTTTATCTCCAGGTATGGTTATTACACTTGAGATGAGAAAATAATAGTTTCAATGCTTTAAAGGGGTTCCCCTCTTTTTCCTCTCTCTTCAACTTCTTTTTCCGCTTATTCTGCTCAACCTGTAATTTAGAAATTGAAGAGAAAGCCTCTCTTGGCTTTCTGCTCCATAGGCTTCGCTTTATCACCAGCTTCTCAGAAGTGCCATCCACTCCGCTGCCTCATTCATTCCCCCAAGACCCCTCGCTGTTTGATTTCTGAAACTATTTTCTCAGATATCTCCAGTGAGTCAGTGACATTTCTCAACCATCCGCTGCTCTTACCTGGGGGTAGTTATGTGTGTTTGTGTGTGTGTGTGTGTGTGTGTGTTTGGGCATAAAGTTATGTATGCTTGTATTCCTTACTACCAATTTGGGAGACAAAGCGGATATTTCTCCAGCTGAAAAGTCAAGTAGAAAGGGGATGTGTTGGGGAGGGGTCCTGAGCCCCAAGCGGAGCTTCCAACCCACCACTAAGCAATGGGTGCAACTACAGCATGACAAAGGCAAATATGACTGAATCCCCTGATAAAATCAGAGGCTTAAGAAATTGGATTGTGTCTTCTCCCCTCCTTATCCACATGGGGTCTAGAATGTTCTCCTCATACTGTCACAAGAAGGCTCATCTAACTATGCATTGCTTTTCAGCCCAGCCTCGGCCCTAGGTTGTCCTTACAAACCCAGCAACACGTGGGCAGAGCTTGTGTGAGCATGTCCACAGCTGTTCCAAGAGATTCTCTCCTGGGAAAGTGACACAGAGTCTTGGACACTGTGTGTGAGATTGAGCCCTGCCAGCGAGCTAATTAAATGTGTTTTTTAAAAGCTCTAAGCTTAGCAGCGAGAGTGGGCGGCTAATTTCCTGACTCACCTATTCAACTCATTTGTGGTCCCAGCAAATACTTCCTCTTGTAGGACACACTGCCTGGCTCTATTTCCAAGCCGTTCCATTTCTTCACAGGGTAAATAGGAATGCACAGAGTAATAGCTTTCTCTCTTGTGTGGGATAACGTTTATGAAGTGGAGTTCAGTTCTTTGTGCAAAAGGAATTGTGGGGGCTTCCCTGGTGGCGCAGTGGTTGAGAGTCCGCCTGCCGATGCAGGGGACACGGGTTTGTGCCCCGGTCCGGGCAGATCCCACATGCCGCGGAGCGGCTGGGCCCGTGAGCCATGGCCGCTGAGCATGCGCTCCCGGAGCCTGTGCTCCGCAGCGGGAGAGGCCACAACAGTGAGAGGCCCGCGTACCGCAAAAAAAAAAGGAATTGTGGGAATGTCAGAACAGTTTTGAACAAAACTGGATATTCAGTTAAGAGCCTTTCCCTTCTAAGGCCCAGAGCTCTCACTGGAAAGGTGCAGAGTCCATCCCAGCCCAGGGTGGACTTCGTAACTGGGTATGTGGGGAAAGAAACCCTGGGCCTTACATCCCTATTCGTGAGCCTAGGAAACCTGTGTTTCCAGACAAGCTGCAAGTCATCTTCAAAGCTTGGAAAATCAACAGTCATAATAAAACAACAGCCAATATTCAATAGAGCTTCCATGATAGAATTTTCTAATTTAAAACTTACTTTTATTCCACAAAATCCTAGCAAAAGGAAAATGTTGCTAATTAAAACCCCCAATGGAAGTCTCTTTGTTTTGATTAGATGCAGGGTCTTGACTATCCTAGCAGTAGACAGAGGTTACTTAGCAGAGGTAATTGTTAGCCCCTCCTACGACCGCCTGCAAAGGCTAAGGGTGCTGGCAAATGTGAACAGCTACATGCTAGCGTAGAGGACATCTCTGCGGTTCTGCCTATCGTGATTAAGGATCTACTCAGCTAGAATAATGAAATTGACTCTATGCCTAGTAAAATGGGAGCCGGCTAATTGTCATGCCAATTCGTGACATTTTGTATCTGTTGTCTCTTTACCTCAGAGCTAGTTGTTGAATTCAATTCTCCTTTCCCTAGGATAATTTTTAGTAACTAAAACTCTATGCGTGATGAATATGGTTTTCAGCCAACTTGTTCATGCTTAGGGTCAGGTTTGGCAAATATCCCACGCGTATATTTCATGCTTCTTTTTCTCCACGTAACCCTTAGCTGTAAGTGTTCCCCAAGGATCTCTCATGAACTCTCTTCTCTTTCTATATACTTTGCTCAGGCAATCTCAGCCACTCCTGTGGCTTTATGTCCCATCTACATGCTTATAACACTTCAAATCTTTCTTCTGCTTTAACTCTGTCCAGCTCAGCTTACAGCCTTTTATTTCCAGCTTTCTTATTGAAATTTCCATTGGAAATTCTACCTGGCTATTTAAGTCAACATGTCAAAAACCAAACTTACAAAATGCCCCTGTCTACAAACTAATTTCTCTTATGCAGCCCATCTACCAACTGCCCAGGGTCGAAACCAGGATCACTCCTTGCTGTCTCTCAAGCACCAAAACCCACCAATTCTCCATCCCAAATATCTTGTGGGTATTGTCACCTCTGCTCTATCCTCCCTGACATTATCTTTTATTCATTCACTTACTAAAGGCTTAATATATTCTAGCACCGTGCTAAGGGCTAGTGACACAGAGGGAAGATGAGAACCAATGAGTAAGTAAAATACAAAGCACGGTGGTCACTGACCTATCAGAACCCAGGGTGGTGGATGTTCAGGGCAGAGCAGGATGTGCAAGAATTTAGGAAACCGAATCTTCCTGTCTTGGTACAACTCATCTCTTGCCAGAACATTTGGGAAAGCTTCTAGCCACACATCCATTCTGCCCTCTGCCCTGCTGCCTGAACTTAATTTCCAAAGTTTAAATCAGATTGTGTCATTGTCTGACTAAAACCCTTCCATTATAGCAGGACAAGTGCCAAACTTCTTGATTCTACTTACAAAACAGTCCAACTCAGCTTTTTCTCCCCCCAGCACTCTTTTATACAACACAGTTACTAACCTCACGGCCCATGAAATAGGAAAAGAAAGAGCAGAAATGAAAATGCCCACTCTGCCTTAAAAATTTACCGTCAGTGTCATTTTAAACCACCCTCTTTTCCCCTTTGGCAATCAACTCAATGGATCATTTTCCTAATGATTGCTGTTCACACTTTGCATGACTGTTTCAAGTATCAAGACGCTGAATAGTTTTGATGACCACAGCTAATCAGTGTGTGATTATTTACTGCCCTGGTGTACTCCCAAAGGCTCCATACAGACATGAGGTATATAGTAGCCATGCAGCAGGCTGCCAAAAACGAATCCTTAGGTCTTGCTTTTAGGAACATTGAGTCCATCTTTATAGATGAGTGTGATCTCGAGAGAATGAGAGCCAGGTGCCGACTACCTCTCCCTTCACAGGAATAAGTCGCTGCAACAACATTCATTCATTCATTCACTTAGTCGTTCATGCATCAAACAGGAGTGACCCAAGGTCTTTGCTGAGGGATCAGGGGGGTGGAGGGGAAATTTGAAAGGCTTTTAAAGATTGAATAAAGGTTTTTTGTTTTGGTTTGGTTTGGTTTTTTGGGGAGCAAGAAGTGTGTGTGTGTGTGTGTGTGTGTGTGTGTGTCTGTGTGTGTGTCTGTGTTTATGTATTTAAGGAAGGAGGGGAACAGTAGCACTTGGGCGGGAAACAAATAGCTGCTCTGGTAAAGTGAATCAAAATGCCAAGGTAATTAAAAAATGACACGAGTCATTTTTTAAAATTTTGGCAAGTTCCTTGTGGCTTGAGGGAGGCAGCAAAGGGTGGTTAGGGGGTGGGAGTGTTGCAGGAAGAGATACTGGAAGGTAAAGAGCATGAAGATTATAGAAGACTCCTACCAAGGAGCTCAGACTTTCTCTTGTAAGCAGGGAGGAGCGAGCCCAGAGAAATCTCTAAGCAGGGAAGTGAACAGTCAGATCGTTTTTTGATTAAAGGTTCGATGCGTATATAGGGATGGATTTGAGAAGATGAACATTTAATGAGTGCTTTATACAGGTGACCACAACCAAGGACAAGTCCCTGGCTACGTCCCAGCTAACTCTGCGTATCTGTGTGTCTTCCCTAGTGACGGTGTTGGCCATTTTCCATGAACTGCATGTCGACCCCGACCTGTACACACTCTTGTTTGGGGAGAGTGTGTTGAATGATGCAGTTGCCATAGTCCTTACATAGTAAGTACCAGAACTTGGCCTGTGCTTCTTTGACCATGTAAAATATGCTTCTACTTGGTGATAATTCCTAGTGGCTTTAATAGTATCTTTTCTGTTATGTCATAGAGATACAGTCAATTCCTAACTTTTAAGGAATTATTATCACAGAAGAGCGCCAAGAGTAGGAACATTTCATTAGCCACTTAATTTCTAACACCATTAATAAGCTGCGTGTTTCCAGCTTATTACAAGATACTACTCAAAGGGTAACATTTTTGTTCTCGGTGTATGTATTTAGCTGATTCACTTAGGCTTCCTAAAATGCACATAAATAAGCTTTCTTCATTTCAAATCAATATCATTTAACTTTTTCCCTTAAGTCACTTTCCAGATACTAGACTAATAGAAACCGTTGTATTTATACTAATTTTGGCAAATTGGAGATAGAAGTTGAGAGTCAGAATATTCTTTATTTATCAGTGCAAATGTAACACGTTATAGAAACACACACATTTTAAAATCATCACGTGACAAGTCAAAATGATGGAGCTTCGTCTGCTAAGAGTTAATGTAATTTTCCCTTCATCTTTTCCCCTTTAGATGCTTACCATTTATATTTAATAAATGACACTTTGGTGGCTTTCACTATGTCAGAGGTCTCTTCTTGCTTTTAGATTAAGACCAACATTTTGGGCAACAGTCAGATACCCTAGAGGAAGGTAGCTATCGAGTAATTAAATGTGACAACAAGATTCAATTCAGGGTGTTAATTACTTCAAATGCATTTGAAAATGTATTGCAAAGTAACAAAGGATTTTTAAAAGTCAGATCGCCCAGAGGGGAGTAGGAAACAACAGGGCAGCACTATTCTTTTTTTCTGCCAGCTGACATTTCTTAAGGCTGCCACCCTAAAGTTACCACTGAATTCAGCAACTTTCAAGAAAGAGTCTCCAAAAAAACTTATATTTTACCTGGCTACTGAGAAGTGCCTCTCCTGCATTAAAGGAAAATACCAGTGAGTGCAAATTAAGAGCAAAAGCCATGGCAGATTCACAAATGCCAGAGGATGCTTTTAAAGAAACACCAAGAACAATTAATTAAAACATCAGGGATCTTTGTCCAAGATATACTAGTATTAAAGGAACATTTGGGGGAAAAATTTTTAAAAATCTGCTGAGTCCCTCATCTTCACTTCCTGAGCTGCCATGTTGTAAAAAGGCCAAGCAAAGCAAAACGACTAAAGCACAAATGAGCCTTGGGAAAGAATCATGCAGCTACAGCCAAGGAAAGGTTTGGCCTTTCCACTTTCAGCACTACCATGCACAGTAGTTTTCCATTCAAAATGCAGACTCCAAGGATGAATGTTGACACTGTTGAGCACAAGCCTGGGGGGCATTTGAAACAGTCCATTTAAGATCTCCTCAGGTCCATATGTGGTTATTACTGGTAGCGCCTTTTCTACTCCCCTATCCGTGCGTTGCATGTCTTAATAAAATGTGTTTCCCACCATGGCAAGATCCTTTCCTTTCTAGGCACCAGACGCTTGCCAGTCTAGCTGAAATCTTGTGCTTCCCAGCTTTGGCATTTCAGGTATTGTGCAGAGTGACCCCAGTGAGTTTCAACTTTAAAATAAAGATAATTCTAAATTAGGAATGCTTGACACGGAAACTTCCACACATTCAAACCTGCAAGCTCGTTCTTCCACCTGGTGCATTCGGACTCCACCAGCCTCTTCCAGGAGCTCTACTTAGCGTTAATGTACAGCTGTCCCTCTGTATCCACAGGGAATTGGGTTCCAGGCCCCCTGTGGATACCAAAATCCACAGGTGCCCAAGTCCCTTATATGAAATGGCATAGTACAGTCAGCCCTCTCTATCTGTGGGCCCCATGCCTGCTGAGTCAACTAACTAAACCTCGGATTGTTCCATGAGGAACCCGCGAATACGGAGGGCCTCCTGTAACTAGGTTACCCCCGGTCTAGACTCTCTGTCCCCCTGTGCCGTCTGCTGACCACTTCTTCTTTCACCTTTTACACAATCCTCCACGTGTTTTACTCTTCACTTTTCTCACTTGCTTCTTAAACTTAGTTTACAGCACGTATGGCAATCTCTTTTTTTTTTTTTTTTTTTTTTTTTTTGTGGTACGCGGGCCTCTCACTGTTGTGGCCTCTCCCGTCGCGGAGCACAGGCTCCGGACGCGCAGGCTCAGTGGCCACGGCTCACGGGCCCAGCTGCTCCGCGGCATGTGGGATCCTCCCGGACCGGGGCACGAACCTGTGTTCCCTGCATCGGCAGGCGGACTCTCAACCACTGCGCCACCAGGGAAGCCCCTCTTTTTTTTTTAACATCTTTATTGGAGTATAGTTGCTTTACATTGTTGTGTTAGCTCTGCTGTATAACAAAGTGAATCAGCTATACGTATGCATATATCCCCATATCTCCTCCCTCTTACGTCTCCCTCCCACCCTCCCTATCCCACCCCTCTAGGTGGTCACAAAGCACCGAGCTGATCTCGCTGTGCGATGCGACAATCTCTTTTTATACATCTACTCACACACACGTTCCGTCTCCTTTAATGCTGCATCCCCAACTGTCTTCTAGTTCCCATGGAAGAACCCTATTTAATAGTTTTCCATGACTTTCAGACCAGGAGTTCAAACATTTGTCTCTCCATTTTTCTCTTCCTTCACCCTAACTTCGCATAGTAGCCAGACACATCTCTCTGGCTTGTAGCCTCATGCCTTTCTTCACAGGCGCAAAGCTCTCTCTTCCCTGCTCCTGCTTCTGCCCCATCAAGTCTTTCACCATGTACTTCAGTCACCTCCTCTGGGAACCACTAGCCCACATGCTAAAGTCCCTCCTCCATCTCCGTATGTGCCTCCATCGATTCCTTGCCAGCTCTGCCATGAAATCTTGGGTTTACACGTATATTTGCTTTTCTAGATAGTAACTTTCTGAAGATGGAGACTTTGCACTTGAAACGTATATTAAAAGAGCAAATGAAAACCTCCTTTGTATTTTCCCTTTCTCAGTTCCATCTTCGTGTGGTTTTGAAGTTCAGGAATAGAGGTAGAGCTTTTATTGTCCCATGGAAAGGAAAAGACACATTTTGATGTGAAATCAAGTACAGTAAATGACCTAAATCATCAGCCACTATGGCCTTGGCAGTGACTCCGGAGCCTCTTTGGAATAGCCACACACTTTCATTTGTCTTTCCATCTTCTACAAGCAAACCTCCTTGCTTAAGAACCATCCTCTTAGTATTTAAAAAAGTTTTATTGTTAGTTTTTTGACAGTAATGTGCTCTAGTATTCCTCATTCAAATACAAAGTAATTTAGCCACATTTTAGATTAAATCAGCTTTTCTATGCTAATCTAAGGAGCCACTAACTAATTATAATACTTTTTCTTAGGCTAAACGTGCTCTGAATTTCAGACAACTAATTTATAATTGAATTTGATGACTGTAACTCTTGTACACAGCGGCATGTGGCGGGTGGTGTCCCTAAGGCTTAAAATGATTCAGAATTATCTTAAGATAAAAGTAACTTTATTTAACAAAAAAGTTTTGAAATTAGCTTTTCTCTGATCCATGCTATTATTTCAAGTATATAGGGAATGTCATACCCAAATATGTATGTGTATTGGTTCATAAATGAATTCCATGTGATGGATTTGCACTTCTAAAGATTGTGTAATAGACTGTGAAGGAAGGCAAAAGATATAATGGAGACATCTTGGAAGGTGTGTGTTTTTGAATCCTGAACAAAGACATTACTTTCAGAGGCACCATGGGAGGGTAGAAAGAGCCCTAGATTTAAGTCAAAAGTGGTGGTGTCAGGATTGTCACGAATTAACTGTACAATTATTACAGTTGACACGAAATCAACCCAAACTGGAGTAAACACAAGGGGAGTCTGTGTTGGCTGATGTAACTGAACAGCAGGAGTAGAAATGGCTCAGGAAAGGATCCCGTGAAATGAGCTGAACTCTCACCTCGCTCAGCTTCTTCAGGGTTATCTCCCCCACCCGGTCACTAGATAGTTGCCAGCAAGTCCCAGGGCTGCATCTTTCTTCAGGAGGATAGAGCAAGAATCTTTGTCCCATGATTCCCAACATAAATCTTAGTACACCTTATAGATTCTGTTGCTATTCCAGACCCACCTGTGGCCAGGGAAATGTGCTTCATTTACTGTCTCAGGTCTAAGTCACATTGTTCATAAATTCAGGGCAGTAATTGGTTTTACTTGGAAGCACATGAACTGAGACTGGGGAAAGATGGGATTCTTGCTCAGAGTAATACTGCCACAGAGAAGGAAAAGTGGATGCTGGTCAGAACCAAAACAAAACAGAACAGAACCTAAGAGACCACGACAGCGACTTCAAATGGCCATAAACTCTTCCTGCTTGTTTCCTTACCTATAATATGTAAGAACAGTCGTTCTGTATACATTACAAAATTATTCTGGGCAATAAATAAAGCAATATATTTGGAAAGGGTCTATAATCTATATAATCTACATAATCTATGCTTATAAATATATATACTTATTATAATTTATATAGTCACGTATATCAATATCTTTCCTTGTACTTACACAGATCTCTCTGGTTTCATTGTTATGACTAAAGATAGACCTGCTTCTAGTGAAGCATTCCTTCATAAATATGGCATTTTATGATCCAAGGAATAGAGAGAATAACCGTTTTTACATGTGATTTCCCCCATTAAGAATGAACCACTTAGTTAAGGTACACTGTCTAAAGAACTAGAGGTTGAAATATATTACTTAAAGTTATACAGGTACTCACAACCAAAATTGATATTACTTGCGGAAGTTAATTGGAGGAGGAGAGAGAGAAAGGCAGGGCTAAGTTACCTAAAATGTCACATCTGTCACAGTAAGAAATCAATGTATATGTGTGGAGTTGATAAATCAAGAAATGGAAGTATATACATATTATTTAGAGTCATGGGGCAGCCATCGGAAGAAATAAAACCATAAATGTTACTAGTTGGTT